CAAACTAAAAATTAAGGGGAAAACGGGAAATTTTACGCACACTCATTTTTCGACAAAATCGATTTTGGTTTTTGATGTAACTTTAAAACAAATGACCATAGATACATGAAATTTTCACCTAATGTTTATATAAGTATATTMTATCCAGGGGGATATCTATATTTTTTTTTGTCAAATTAGGGTCTCTCAAAATAAATTAGCCCAGGTCMACTAATTTCATTAATCCGGCTTTGGTTGAACTTAATCTAACCTAATCTGAAAAAATGTGTACCTATACCTAAATGTGTTCCCAAATATCAATTGTTCTATCAAAACACAGGTAAAAATATCGTTCTGTGCCCACTCTTGATACGGCCGTAAATGTAACTACTATACACGGATGATAGGTATCGATATCTCTCGGCGATTTTGGATAACCGGAATGGGTCAGTGTATAGTGGGGAGACATAAGTTCCTCGCCTATGTGCGGGTTAAAACATTTACTTATTGTTTATACAAATTAAAAATGTTTATTTTGTTGGACCCCACCCCCTCTTATGAAAAATGTTTGGTTTAACGGTCATTCTCTTCGGAATGGGATAAGGGGTATATAATACATATATATATATATTACATATTACTCAAGCTGTAATCCTCCGATCTACCTGAAATGTATAAAAGTATAATGTCGGAAAGTAGGTTTTTTTATTGATCTTAATCTCAGCAACTATGACCATCAGGTAAGGTAAAGGGTTAACGGTAGGGATTAGTACGGTTGTTACTGTGAGTTGGATACACGTTTATATTTGTCAAGGTTTTTGCCACTAAGCACCTGGGTCACATATTCAGGGACTAATGTCAGTGGGCGCACCGTACTCWCAATCACGTTACGAGACTAATTACAGCCACAGCGACACACCTACTCACATCAATCACTTCTATAAATTATTGTTCTCATTAAAGGGAACATTGTGACGAAGACAAAACCCTAAACAGGGACATTACCAATCTCATAATTGAAATTATTTTCTTGCAGTTAGTTTTCAGAATCTTCTATAAATTAAGGCTTTTTTTTCTGATGTGTCCTTGTTAAATTTGATGTTACAAAAAATCGTATCATATTTATCTATATCATATTTATATGCATGGGTTTCTTCGGGACCTACTAACCTAACCTTGTAGCCTGTATGAATTTTTAAATTTTGTGTTATTTAAAACCTATCAGTTATCAAAGATAATCACATTAATATGAATTTTTGGTAGTATGACGTGTTCTTGTATGTTTTGTTAAATTCGATATTGTTGAAAACCTTTTATTTTTTATTACAGATATCATATGGCTTTTTCAGTATTTATCCTTGTATGCACTTTTAGAATCAAATGTTTGAGAAAACTTTATCACAGATATCACATTTATATCACTTTTCTCTGTTTTGTGTCAAAATATGAACAGATTAGTAATTGGATGCTGTAGACATTTTAACACAGACTTCAGTCAATGGATTTTTCTTTATGCTGTTAAATTTCAAATCCAAATTCATGTAAGTAATAAATTCTAAAGAGTTACTTTTGTTTTAAACTACTCTTTAAAATTCATAATTTTTCATAATTTCCTGAATAATATATGTATTAAAAAGTAAGTAGTATTGTTTGATAAGACTTGTTAGTACCATTTCTTATCATATACCTTATTATTATTAGCTTATTAACCATGTTATCTTTTAAGGTTATGTTTATATTTTATCATGATTTATTACGCGATCATTTTGATTTGATGTTATGTTTTTTTTCTTTA